CCCAGTTATACAGCAAGCCCGGAGTAAGAAGTAAAGTAAGGTTTACAGAAAGATAAAAGCCCAGAGGCAAAAGGTAGAAGGGATAATTTATGTTAAGAAAAACTGGATAGAAACAAGCCAAGCTAAAGCCAAGAATTCATAAGAAAGAATAATTCTCCACGTGTTTAGTTGGGAGCTGGGTGGCAGGCCCCCAAAGACAAAAGAATAAAAACAAACAAACAAACAAAAAAAATCAAACAACATTAGGGTGGGCACACAACAGCTATCTGGCTCCTAGATAGAGGTCACCCTTTTGTTATGTCTAAAATTGAGAAAAAGAAAGAAAAGAAACTCTTGTTTCGTTTCCTGCGCAAACCAACATGTTTTCTCTTTAACAACCATTTTTCAAGTACTCTGTCATTGCAGGAGTGATGAGTCAGCGTTGAGGGAATTGCTGGGACTTGTTCCTCCTATTACAACAAGCCCAAGAGTTCGGGGTTGGTTGTTCTTGGATTCTCAGAGGATTATTTATCTTGGGGTAAAGATGGACTGCAATTTGCAATGACCACACCATACAGATGTTTAGTCATGAAGGTGACCTCAAATGAGACAAGCAATTTCTTGGTCTGACTCTAGTAAAATTCAGCCAAAAGTCCACCCAGTGGGCAAGCTCCAGGAGAGGTCAGACTGGAGTGACAAAAGAGTGAGAGGGGCTAAGACTGGAACACGTGGACAGGCCAGGAAGAGAGGTCTGGAGCCGGATGAGAGGGTGTGTGCTCAAAGGCAGGATGGAGAGGCTGGGCAGAATTACAAAGGGGTGGGACAAAGCAACCCTTGTATGCTTCTAGATTCTCCAACTCTGAGCTGCTTTGCATTTTCTCACTAGGAGAATTGCATGTGACATTTAATATAAACCTAGCTGGGCAGGGTAGTACACACCTGCACCCTCAGAACTTAGAAGGCTGAAGCAGGAGGATTGCTGAGAGTTCCAGGACAACCAGGGCTACATAATAAGGCTCTATTAAAAAAACAAAACAAAAACCTCAAGCAAGCAAGCAGTTAATAAGAACTGGAGGCTCAAGGACTCCTACACACCCTGATGCTTGTGGCCTGGGGCAGCCTACAGCAGGACAAATGCCTCAAGAACTCTAGAATTATTCATAGGCCCTCCCTTTCAGGTCTTTCAAAACATCTTAATTTCCGCCTTTAGCAGTTCAATGTGAGACCTCTGGGCTAGCAGCATCAGCATCTTCAGAACACTAGGTACAAAAGCTTACTCTCAGGCCTGACCCTGGACTGACTGGCTCAGAAACTCTGGGGTGGAGCTGGGGGTGGAGCCGGCAAGCTGTTGACTGGAGTCTTCCAAGTGGTGTTGATGCCCTTAAAGTTTAAGAACCATGTTTTTAGATGATATTAGGAGATAATGTCAACATAGATGAGCATGAACATTGTAGGAAGACTCATGAAAAAGACAAGCCCCTCAAATATCAGATAAAGAATTTTCTAGACCTGTTATTTCAAGATATATGAAGGGGATTTGAGGCTGTTGGGTGAACTCAGGACCTCACCATCTCTTGCTTTTAATCTCACCGATTTCAGACTTCTCTCCACAACGCTACTGGAAATTTGGTTTGGCATGAAAAAAAATCTGACTTTGTTAAACCCCATTTAAAGTCCTCTATTAGGAGCTGGGGAGATGGACCATGAGGTAATAGTGCTTGCTCCACAAGCATGAGGACCTGAGTTCAAATGTCCAGCACCCATGTAAAAAGACTCATAAACCTGTAATCCTCGGTAGTGTGGGGAGCAGAGACGGGGAAAGTGTAGGGGCCTGCTGACCACCAGCCTCGCCAATGCAATGAGAGACCCTGTCTCAAGAGAATGAGGAAGAGAGAGTAAGTCAGATACCCCAAATCCTCCTTTGGCTTCTAGGTGCACAAACGAATGCACACACACACATGGTCACACACACACACACCTGCCTTTAGTGGTTGTGTTCTGCCTATAAAATAAAGTCCCAAGCCGGGCGATGGTGGCGCACACCTTTAATCCCAGCACTCAGGAGGCAGAGGCAGGCGGATCTCTGTGAGTTCGAGACCAGCCTGGTCTACAAGAGCTAGTTCCAGGACAGGCTCCAAAGCCACAGAGAAACCCTGTCTCGAAAATCCAAGAAAAAAAAAAAAAGTCCCAAGTGCCTGGTCTACAACCCCAAATCCTTTATTATCTACCTCTGGTAATTTCCCTGACCTTGTTTTCTTCCCCTGCTTCTAATCTCCACAGCCATGTCTGCCCATCTGCAGGAAGCTTATATTGTCTCTGACATCATGTTTGACCATGTCACTGACCTTGGCCAACAGTATGGAGCTGTAGGGACAGCCCAGCCACCGCTCACATCCTAGCAAACTTTAACTGTGAGCATCCTACGTCTTTCCCCTGCCATAAGTGAAGTTGGTATTGTCTTTGGGCAAGGCTGGTTTGTTTTTAAGTTATGTGGGACTGTAAATAAAGACATGTGAGGATCCACCTGGATCACAGCATCAAGGAGCAAGGAGTCTGAGTGACCATAGAGCAGTGGGATTTGGGGTGACTTGTCACTTAGCCCAAGCTGACTACAGCAACACTTGTCATCTTTCCACCCCACTTGCAGTGGCTTCTCTCCTCTCTTCTACCTTGCTGCCAATGACTTCGGCTGCTCATTCTATCCTGAGCTCAAGTGGTGAACTCTCAACCTGGGCTTTATCTCTAAAAGGTCACCCTCACTTTTAGAACCTCTTCTAGAGGCCACAGACCTGAAACTCTGTCCTGGGAGCTGTGTCATGGGCTTCCCACCTAACATCATCATCATCATCATCATTATTATTATACCGTCTCTTCGCTATTTAACAAAATCATTATCACTCGTGAGGAGACCGGCTCAGAGAACCAAAGCAGGGTGGCCAAGTTTCCCAGCTACAGTTAGAGCCAGGGCTCTCACTGGGTGGGAGTCTGGCTTTGAATGAAGCAATCTGCCCTGTGCCACATACCTCTGTCCCTCCCCAGCTGCAAGCTTTCCAATCCTCCCACTCTGCTGGGAAGGAAAAGGCTACAACAACAGCTGAAATCCACACTAATCTCACACTTGCACGATTTGCAGCTAGAAATGCACCCTGGGCCTGAGAAGACACACTTTTCCTAGATGGTGTATTCATCCTCAGGTAGACAAGGCACTGGGAACCTCAGAAAAACAGGGTTAGTTTGTCTGACCTTTCCCCTCCCAGGTCCAGGCTGCAGGGGTGGGGTGGGATGCCGAGATAAGCAGATGGCCACTGAGAACACAGAGGTCTTTAGGGTTTGTTCCAGAGGAGGAGGAGGCAGGAGAAGGCTCACAACTCCAACAAGCGATACATGTGATATCTTAGGTTTAGTAGCACAAATAAGCATGTAGTCAAGTGTCTGCTTGTGTCTCAGATTAAACAGCAAAGGGGCAAGGATCTGACTTAGAGCACCTGAGTCAGGCATCCCATCAGTTGCATAGAGACAGAAACACAAATTTCAGTTTTCTGTCAGCTGCTGGCATTCTGTCATAAGGTTGAGAATTTCCTTTGTGTTTCTGCTTTTCTCCCTCACCTTTAAAAAGAATAAGAATCATAAAACGCTAAAGAATAATTCCTCCATTACTCCGATCAACCATACAAATAGGGAGAGAGAGAGAATTCAACAAAGTACCGTGATATTCTTTCTGAAAAACATTCACAGGGATACAAAGCATTGATTACTAATTCAGATTCATTTACCTCTGCCATCCTTTCCCATAGGATATATTTATTACCTTTTTTTTTTTTTTTTTTTTTTTTGGTTTTTCGAGACAGGGTTTCTCTGTGGTTTTGGAGCCTGTCCTGGAACTAGCTCTTGTAGACCAGGCTGGTCTCGAACTCACAGAGATCCGCCTGCCTCTGCCTCCCGAGTGCTGGGATTAAAGGCGTGCGCCACCACCGCCCGGCTATATTTATTACCTTTAAACGAGACCATCAGTAACATTGACATTTTTCTCCTTGGAGAGTAGAAAGCTGCTAAATGCTCCAAATGACTGTTGGGCCTGTTTGGACAGGTCTGATTTGCTCTTAAAACAACCATCCACTTCACAATAAATAGTAAGAGCCAGCATCTATCGAATGCTTGGTGCTGTGCTTGATATTTTTCAGATCCTGGCTCGTACAATCTTTCAAACAAGGAGTGCAATCAGTGTCATCACTTTATAGATAAGAGCAAAATAGGCGCAGAAAGCCTGGAGGAGACGGGGTGGAAGGCAAGCAGCCGCAGTAGCGGCACAGAACCAGAGTTAATGATTCACTTAAGCCCTCAGGCAGCTCCTTTCAACAGAGTCTGTGTGGGAACTCTCTCTCTCTCTCTCTCTCTCTCTCTCTCTCTCTCCAACTCTTCATCTCATGGAGAGGTCAGTGTCCAGCAAATCTTCCCCCCTTCCTCTGTCCCCCGCCTTCTCCAATCTTCAACTCTCCATCCCAACGAGAGGCGGTGACCTGCAAATTGCTTGGCAACGCGCGCAGGAAACTCCATCCAAAGCCCGGGGTCCAAGCGGCCCCTGGGCGCTGTCCAGCGGGCAGAGCGCCTGAGAGGCCAGGCTGGGGTCCTGTCTCAGAACACCCCGAAGCTGGAGCGCAACGCCAAGGCCGGGATTTCGAGCGGGGGTGGGGCAAGGCACTGTCTCCAAGGACACCTGTTGTCGCCTCCCCACTCAGGACAGCGAAGCTGCCCTGGCCGAGTTGGATCTCAGGGGAAGGCATTGGCTGGCAAGAAGTGCTGGGGTGAGTATGGGGGTCACAGGAGACTCCCCACGAACACCCCGCGGAGGCCGCCTCCCTTCGTCCCTCCTCAACCTCCCCCTAAGGCTGGTGGCTCGGTGGCGTTCGGCGTCGGCTCCGTGCGCGGTGCTCGGAGACGCACGGCGCTAGGACCTCGCGGCCGGCGCCCCCCTCCGTCCACCTGCGGCGCCTAGGTCGCTCCCCACCGCGGGTTGTACTCACCAGTGTCGGGGTGAGCAGAGTCCCGGCGTCGGCGCTGAGGTCCGCTCCAACACCAGCTCCCCAGCCCAGCCTCCGTCCCGCCGCTGCTCTAACAGAGCAGCCTCCGGGTCGCCGCGCCACCACTGCCCGCTCGCGACTCTGGGCTCGCTGGGCGCCCGCCGGCTCTAGGCTCAGCTCCCGCCGCTCCTGATTGGTCGTAGCGTGTTCGAGAGCCGCTCTCTGATTGGACAGGAGGTGGGGTCACTCCTGGAGCTTTGCTGCCCTGGCCTTGGTCCCCCACCTCACCTGGGGCCAGCAGGACTCTGAAACCCGCTCGGATCCCCGCTACACCCAGTGGGGTCGGCCCAGCAAGCATCTGGGGGTGGGAACAGTGTCGCAGGAGTGGCGGGAACTTGGGATCATTATGGAATCCAGCTACTGTCCCTGAGTGCGGGTGGTTGTGAACCTCCACCATGCTGGGAAAGGTGCTTCCCTGGATTCTCTCATGCAAGCCACTTTGACTTTACATTTATTTTTCTGTACTTTTTACTGTAGGGTGTAGGGCTTAGGTCAGACTCTGTAAACAGTAGGTGCCAAACGGTGTTTGTGAACTGAAATTGAACGCCACACACAATCTTTGTATGGTCCCTATCTACCAGAAGCTAACAAAAAGGAAGCGATTTGTGGGAGAGCCCAATACCGTCAATATATTAAGAACTCTGTGCTAGGTACTGTCCAAGAAAGGAGAAAGATGGGTTGAGGTCACCGACAAAGAACTTAATACCTAGTTGGAGAGATGAGGCTGATTCATAACATAATAATTACCCTAATACTAACAAGGTGCATATTATTTGGCAGGCATTATTCCAAGAACTTTATATACACTTTTATAATCCAGAAATTCAGGAAAAGTCTGCCATAAAGACATTTATGTGTGCGTGAGCCTCAGGGATAGAACACAGACGTTCCGAAGAGACCACAATTTCATCGGAAAGACAGTAGCAGGGCCCTAATCTCTGGGGAGAAGAGGGGACCATAACTGTTCCCATCATGCATCTCTTTCCTTGTAGCTCTTTAACCCTCTCAACCTACCTCTTCTGGATCTTCCTAAAAACTAAAAGCAAGCGGTGTAAATCCACACGCCACTCTTACAAATCTCTGCCACCCAGATAGGCAGTGGAGAAAAGCAGCTCCATGTTCTGCCGTTTATCTTAATGAACAAATAAACAACACACCATATGCGACCATTTTCCTGCAAGCTTTTCTCTCCTTCTGTGCTTTTGGGCTCACAGAACCCTTAAGAAGTGTGGCTGATAGAAAAATGCTTAAAAGATACCAGTTGGGATCCAGTTGGACCTACACTAAACAGTGGTTGCATCTATCTTAGGTCAAAGTTAGAAACCACAGTCCATGGGAGAAAATCATCTCCATTTTCTGTCGCTTATATTAATGAACCTGTATATTGGAAAAGCAGACTGGACGTGGGTTGAGCCTCACGTGGCTGGAAAATGGAGTAAAACAGGACAGAGGCAAGGTGAAGAAAGTCCTATCGGGGGCACTCCTCTTCAAGCCTCGGAAATATATACACGCATGCGTGTGTGTGTGCACACACACACCCTTACACACATACATGCTTGTGACTCCTGGATGATCACTTTTCATGGCCATGGCCCTTGCCAAAACAGAAGTCCAATTTAGCTGCTCATATGCTCACTTCAAAGGAGAGAAGCTTGTTTCTTCCAGAGTTGGAGGCTGACCCAAGATGACGTGTCCAATCGCTCACTTCTGGCGGCCGCGAGTGAACTCCAGCCCACAAATACAAGGAAAGAATGAGGACCACGGAGTCTACTTGTCTTGTGGGTGAGCTCATTTACGCATAGTTCTATACCCTGCCTCATCTAGGAAAAACGCTTTGCTTGGCTCTCATATTTCTTCTTTCCTGAATGGCACTTAGCACTTAAGAGTGAACTGAAATATCCCTTCCAGTGTGAGGCCTTCACCAAGTCTCTCAGGCACCCAGGAACAGTGCTCCATCCATCTGTCACGAGTCTTCTTCCGCTAAATTGCATTGTTGCACAGCCCCAGTGCCTAGCTTACCATCAGAACACGGTAGGCACTCTGTAAACATGAATGAGGCTAAAATTTCCAACAGGTTAATAAAATGCTAACCACATACTTATCCTAAATTTCAACAGGGTACTCTCCAGTTCCTGAACGAGGGGATATTACCTTAAAGGCCACATCCATTCAACCTAACTGTAAACAAGTAGTTCTTATATGTTAGATGTTGTTAAGTAAAGAAAAAAATGATAGCCTTATTGTATGGACACAAGGTGAAGTGAGATTAAATACCCGATCTACAGAACAATGTTTCTTAAAAAACAAAGGTAAAAATTGCAGCACACTACAGTAATTCCACTTAAATCGTCAAGGACACTGGCTTGGCATGGTGGTGCATGCCTTTGAATCCCACTACCTTGGAGACAGAGGCAGGTGGACCTCTGAGTTTGAGGCCAGTCTGCCTAGCATGCTCCAGGCCAGTCAGAACTACATTTGGACTCTGTGTCAAAAAAGAAAAAAGAAAAGAAAACAGAAAAATTTGTTCAAGAGTATCATAGTATTGCTATAGATCGTGGCTGAAAAGTACAAAGCCAAGAAGCTCAGTAATTGCTCATAAAGAACATTGCAAATACCCAGTGTGATAGAGTATTTTTCAGCGACAAATGTTATGCAAAGTGAAAAAAGTCAGAAGTCAAAGGCCACATAGCGTATAATTCCATTTCTTTACTATATCTACAATAGGCGAATCTGTAAAGACATTGCAAAGGGCTGGTTACTGGGAGATGGGGAAGTGAGGAGTGATTGCTTCATGGTGGCCAGATCTCCCTTGGGGAAAAAAAAAACCTTGGAAACAGAGAATGAATGTCTGCTGATTTGGGGAAGCAAATCTATTATTATTGCACAGCATACATTCTGAGAGGGCAGAAAGTGCTCTGAGGAATGCACTCATTCTATCCTAAATGAAGGACCTAAGCCTATGTAAACGGAAACTGCGCTTTCGTTTCCCAGTCACCCTGACCCAACTCATCACATAAATATATTAATCACAACATTGTGGCCAGCTACTCAGGCGTATTCCAAGCTAGCTCTTACATCTTAGATCAACCCATTTCTATTATTTTATGTTTTACCACAGGGCTCGTGGTTTGTTACCTCACATCTTGCTTCTTGGGCGGCTACAGGGCATCTGCCTGACTCCACCTTCTTTCTCCCTGCATTCAGTTTAGTTTTCCTGCCTACCTATATTCTGCCCTGTCATGGGCCAAAGCAGCTTCTTTATGAACCAATGCTAATAAAACACATTCACAGCACACAGAGGAGAATTCCACATCACATATGCTTCTCTAGGTGAAGGGACTTAGGTAGGCCTATAAAAGAAAGCTAAATATAACTCATTTAGGACTCATGCCCCCACCTCATCAGTCCAGAGAAACTTTACTTGTTAGATCTGTGCTGTCTAAGAGAACGGTCTATTAAAATGCAACTATTGTCTTTTCATCTTTTTTTGTTTTATTGTGAGATAGATTATCACACAGCGTGGGCTGACCTTGAACTCACTATGTAGACAAGGATGGCTTTGAAGTCCTGATCCTCCTGTCTCCACCTCCCAAGTGTTGGAATTATACAGACACATACCATCACAGCCAGCAAAGTGGTTTTTTTATTTGAGACAATCAATAAAGTAGTGATTAGACATGTGCTGTCGGACTTGAAATGCGGTTCATTGTGACTTGAAATACTAAGTTTTAAAGTTGTACTGAAATATGAATAGCTGCATGGAGCGAATGACCACCAATACAGCAGTGTAACCTGAGCTGGTTTAAAGAATTAGAACCACGTGTGGCGGTGGACACCTTTAACCCCAGCAGTAGGGAGACAGATGCAGGTGAATATCTGAGTTTGAGGTCAGTGTGATCTACACAGCGAGTTCCAGATCAGCCAGAGCAACATAGTGAGACTGTCAACAAACAAACAAACAACAACAAAACACATTAGAACGTCTTGTGTTAAGGTCGTGGGAGAGTCTGTGTCTTTGCCTGTAGCCCGCCTCAAGCCTGCACCCACGCAATACACTTCAGCAGCGTTTTGCTGTCTCTGTCTCCCTTTGCAGGGTCACCGTGCACATCAGCCCAACAGCGGTTAGCTGCTCCTTTATGCAAAGCGTTTCCGTTCACAAGCGTTTATGGATTAGTCAATTTACGGAACATACTGACACAGAAAAGAGTAACTATCTCGGGCAACTTCCAAGTGCTGGCTTAGACTGGAGAGACGACGTGGTAGTTAAGGAAGGGCACCGATCGTAGCAGACTTGTGTTTCATGCCCGGCATCCATATCAGGCAGCTCCCTCCTGTCTGCAACCTGAGCTCTAGGAGAGCTGACAGCCCTTGATCTCCTTGGGTACATACACAGAGATAAGTAGTAAAAATTATTGTAAAGAGCTGGTCTTGAAAGTTAAGAGGAAGGGAAGAGGGCTGGAGAGATGGCCCAGAGGGTAAGAGCACTGTCTGCTCTTCCAGAGGTCCTGAGTTCAATTTCCAGCAACCACATGGTGGCTCACAACCATCTGTAATGAGACCTGGTGACCTGGCACCTTCTATGCCAGCAGTACATTGTATACTTAATAAAGAAATAAATCTTAAAAAACAAAGAGGAAGGGAAGACTGAAGAAATCCCTCTGAAGGGCGTGACCCTTCCCTCCAGTGCCCCCCATTCACTGCTTTTCCAGGAGGGAAATTTTGCTGCCAAGATGCCGATGTTGGAGAACCTTATAATTTGTAACATTACATTGATTTTCGCCTATATATCATGTACTTGTGGTGGTCAGAGAGTAATTGGCAGAAGTTGGTTCTCCCCTTCCACCACTTGGCCTCTGGAGATAGAACTCAAGCTGTCAGGCCTGTGATCAAGTGTCTTTACACACGGAGCCATCTCATCGCCCTGAAGAATCTTTTAGATCATTTTCCCCTACCCCAGGCCTTGAGACATTCTTAACTCCTTCAATACATCTCCAACTATACTTTCACTGAATTTGAAATCAA